AAAGTACAGAAACAAAACCATTTAAACTTGCAATGGGTAGTTCCCATAAGCTTTTAATTGATTTACTGGCTACGTCATCCTTACTTGTGGCAGTCGCTATGAAGGCAGCTATTTTAGCCCGGTGTGATGAGTTGTCTTGATGGACGTCAGGAGTTAAAGTTAGTGAAACTCCCCAAGATAAAATGCAACATTTTGGTGTTTAAATCATCGCAACAACTTCGAGCATTGGTGAGCTAACACTTCAGAATGATTATCAGAACATTTGCTGTTACACTACTCGCTGGATCTCTACTTTAGCAATGTTTTTTGGCCAAACTGAAGGATTTAAAAGCTTTTGAAAAACCTAAGTTAGGTGTCTATAAAAGTGTTTAAATCATCGCAACAACTTCGAGCATTGGTGAGCTAACACTTCAGAATGATTATCAGAACATTTGCTGTTACACTACTCGCTGGCTCTCTACTTTAGCAATGTTTTTTGGCCAAACTGAAGGATTTAAAAGCTTTTGAAAAACCTAAGTTAGGTGTCTATAAAGTCTCTTAGAATGATTTGAGACTATGATGAGCAATATATAACATGCAGTGGCCATGTTTTTCCTGGCCCACCCCTTCATACTAATCTCAACTCTGAATAAGTTGCACACACCACTAGTATTTTGTTTGCGCTTTAAACTAAGCAGTTACCATTAGTTTATCACTGTGTAATTGTGAAATATTGTTTTGTATGTCCTCTACTACTACCCACAATTGTCTCAAGTTGATTGGCTGCTCTTTGACCTTCTTAGTTTTCATACAAGGCCCTACAGCCTTAAAATATTAATATCCAGTGTTTAATCATACCTCCAGGTATCACTTCACTACAGTTTATGCATGTTTTTTTATCAGCATCCAGAATAGAATCAACTTTGTTTAGATTGCCAACATAGTGGCTGAGATGCAGCTCACATTTATTCTGTACTGAAGATGTTGTACATCAACCATGATACCATTCTCCCCTCTGCCATCAAACAAACTATTGTTGATTGTTCACAAATAATTTTGATTCATCTGTAAGGAGGGCCAACATTGTTTGATTATCTCCAATATTTGCATAAATCTACGCAAGATCTACTATCCTAGCTACCCCTAATTTTAAACTGATAAACTAGAAGGAAGACTACTCTAATCAAATAGTGGGATTTGATGGTCATTCTTATAATGCACCAATCACCCCAAAGTGCTTAGCACTTTGCAACAATGGGAGACAAAGTATGGACCCTCAAATTCCCAGTTGAGTATACCGTTTTGGACGCTGAATCTTGTTTGACCTTTGAATTTTTAAACTTGCCTTGGTACTTTATCTGACATTAGTTTTGACTGATGGTTTTTTTTTTCATGTTCAATTTTGCAAGGATTTCATTTTTTTTTCATGTTCAATTTTGCAAGGATTTCATTTTTTTTTATGTTCAATTTTGCAAGGATTTCACTTTTGTTTCTGCTACATCAAATGACTTAGGTCATGATCACATCTTGGATTGGTCTCATTTTAAATATATGCCAAACATCTTAACTCACAGTTCACTCATGGAATAAACTAATTTCTTCAGCACTACAACAACCATACTGTCACTATAGCAACTATAGTGTGTTACTTTGTGGTCAGACCTAGCAATAGCTCAGTTTATCGTATCGTTTCCAACCTACCGTTTTATCCGTACATCTATTTGTCACTGTTCCTGATAATGTGCTGTAATACAGTTAGTGGAAACATTCGTGTCTTATTCTTTACCTCCTCAGTGGAGTTACCGATGAGAACCTACCTGGTATTAGATCTGGACACTTTTCGTCCGGTGGTCCCACATTTAGGCAAGATGGAGAATCATTTTTGTTTTCGTGCGGCTTTTCTCTGTAAATGGAGATAAAAGTACAGATAACTTTCTGTTACTTCATCGAGTGCCAGAATATATGTTAAGTTAATTATTACACAAAACAAAGCAGTGAACAGCATCTCCATAAAACAACTTGTATCAATAAAAAAGTTTGGGTTTTCATATATTCAGATCATGATGCACCCTTGCTGACAAGCCTGTCATGTTGTGTTAATCAATATTTAACATTGTTGTAATGTTTCAGTCATGGTTCATTTCATGCAGGATAATGCCCCAGGCCATACTGTTAATGTTTTAGTAATGATTCAGTTCTGTGTTTTCATGTAGGATAATGCCCCAGGCCATACTGTTAATGTTTTAGTAATGATTCAGTTCTGTGTTTTCATGTAGGATAATGCCCCAGGCCATACTGTTAATGTTTTAGTAATGATTCAGTTCTGTGTTTTCATGTAGGATAATGCCCTAGGCCATACTGTTAAGGCTATCATAGTCTTTCCTGAACAACAACAAAAATATACATTCTGCATTTGCCAGCAAGAGATCTTGATTTTTGTCATACAAAACACCTCCATGACTTTTTTACAGTCCAACATTTTAACCCAGTATATGACATGAGCTACTCGAGAGATGAGATTGGGTTCCTCACAGTGTTATCTGACCATCGATCATAAGAATGTCCTACAGAAGTTCGGGACAAACTTGTTATTGTCTCTTTTTACCAGGTGTGACTCTTTGAGACAGGTTGATTCTACGAAATCTGAGTTTGGGATTAAAATTAAAGGATGGCCATCACCAATCGGCTGTAACTAGCAGCACGCTGTCATAGGATAAACGATTCTCCTGAAAGAAGCAAAGTTTGAGCTCTCTCTTGTTTATTTGGGAAAAAGAAAAAATTAACCATATATTTCCTCTTTCAATGGTGGAGCCTTTTACATCTTTAACCATTAACAGGTTAACTTAGAAGAGTATTTGTTCATACATGAGATTTTTACTATTGTTTTAACTAAGTATAATCACGAGTGACTAATGAAGTGAAGATTTCCTTATGGTATTAATTTTTTTAAAGAAAGGAATTGATAAAAAAAAAAGTTTAACATTACTTACTCCTCTTCATTTTCCCCACTTCTGTTTTCTTGGCCTACAAAAGGGTGATAAGTATATAAAATATACTTGTCATTTTGTTCTTAATAAAAGAACGTATAGTTCTTATGAATAGAGCACTTACGAAATCAACTAAACGTGCAAGAAACGATATAAAATAAACAGTATTTTTTAAAAAGAATTCAGTATGTATTACCTTTCTTTTTTCTGTACTTTATAACGAGTATAGTTGCTATACCAACTGTTATGACTCCAGCAGCAACAGAAACCAGGATGATCAACACTGAGCCAACAGCTGTTCTCCACTGATTATTTACTAAAAGAGAATTATAATGGAGGTGTTATGACTCAATAATTGTGTGTTTAGACTCAAATGTTAATTGAAAACCACCTCAATAAGTTTTGTAAAAAATAGAACAACTGTTACGAGTTAACCAGAATTTTATTAAAGACTGGAAAAATTGACACGCTAATGCTATATAATAATGTAAAAATAACCTTATTTTCACGATCTTTCTACCATCAGATCATTTATGGGTTAATTTTTTTTAAGATATCACACAAAGATTGTGTCTGTGTGAACTCCAAGAATCAGCAACATAAAACACTAAACACACTTGCACTACTGATACTATAATTTATAAATCTTTCATAAATATAAGGGCGTGTAGAATAAGCCTACACTATTGATAATGATATTTCATACAATTTTGTTTATTACAAAGCTACACAATGAGATATGTGTGCCGACCACAAATATTTAAATCTGGTTTTTAGACTTACTGCTGAGGTACTGGGAAGCTTCGGTTAAGAGGATTTTGTAGAAGAATCCTCAACTACTTATAGCAAGATTGTATATTTGTAAAATAATCCTCAACTACTTATAGTGGTATTGTGTTTTGTAAAATAATCCTCAACTACTTATAGTGGTATTGTGTTTTGTAGAAGAATCCTCAATACTTATAGCAACATTGTATTTTGTAAAATAATCCTCAACTACTTATAGTGGTATTGTGTTTTGTAGAATAATCCTCAACTACTTATAGTGGTATTGTGTTTTGTAGAAGAATCCTCAATACTTATAGCAACATTGTATTTTGTAAAATAATCCTCAACTACTTATAGTGGTATTGTGTTTTGTAGAATAATCCTCAACTACTTATAGTGGTATTGTGTTTTGTAGTAGAATCCTCAATTCTTATAGCAATATTATATTTTGTAGTAGAATCCTCAACTACTTATAGTGGTATTGTGTTTTGTAGAAGAATCCTCAACTACTTATAGTGGTATTGTTTTGTAAAATAAATCCTCAACTACTTATAATGATAATCTAAATAAATCCTTACTTTCCTACACTCTATTGGATACATTACTACCCACGTTATGTTAGTCAAAAAGAAAAAACTCCTGTAAAACATCGGAATGAAACCAAAAAAGTCCAAATCTACAACTTTCGGGTCTCACAAAAGCACCATACTTAAAATACGCCCTCTAGCTAACAACAACTCTTGTCGTCATGGTGATTAAAGAATCGTTTATTTGTGAGCAAGCTGCAGGATATTTATTTGTTAGATGCTTACCTAGTAACAGTTAATGCAAGTAAACTAGACGATTAAATTAACAAATTAAAAATACAGCGATGAGGAATAAATTATGTGTTTTGGTTTATCAGCATTTAATACTTTTACAATTTACGCTTCCTGTTGTATCTGTTTTTTAAGTTTAAAGTTAAACTTCTTATCTATGTATATATATATATAATATCCAAATTTCTGTCTGGTGTTTTATACTCCGTATTTCCTGAACGGCTAGTCGAACGAAAAAAAAAAAAAGCTTTTTTTTCCGAGTGTAAGTTGCAGGAAAATTATTAATTTTTTGCAGTTCCTATCGATCCGTGAGTCTTAGTTTGTGCTGAACGGTTAATCAGAGAAAAAAATGTATTAAAAAAACGTTTCTTCTTGTGAGGGAATGTCACGAAAAAAATAGAACTTCCTCTACAGAATGACTGAAAGAAATATTTCGAAGAAATGCATAAAGAGAGGAACGTGTTTGAGTAAATATTTGTTGTTCTTTGGTTTATATATATATGTGTGTATACATATTTTTTTTTTTTCATGTTGGTATTATTTACATGCAAGATTATATTCTATCACATTGAATAAATTGATTTTAATTCAGTTGAATATATCCTCCTCGGCACTTCCTAACTTCCGTAGCGGTCTTTTCTTGCGCTCAGTAAAATGACAAGGAATGGTGTCATCCTGCGGAAAACATCGCCGCGACTACTTAGCGAACCTGAGCGCTCTATTGTGCTGGATGAACCAATTTCATGGAAACCCAAACAATGTTTCCAACAATGCATTGCAATCAGACTCCCATGCTTAAAAACAAACGCAGTATAATTTTCGTTATTGAAATAACACACGGAATGAAAATAGACTGTAGTAAACGGCCCACTACACAATTATATTGCATATGATACAAGGGATTAGGTTGACAGCACATCACATTTTATATTTATTCATCGCAGTTTTTATGGAAATTACCATCGAATTGTTGCTAGTTTTATATAGTTTACAAATACTAGACTAAGCTTTAATGTTCTGTTTGATTTAAATTATTTCACAAACCCTTCCAAATCATCTTTTCTTGACTGCTGTATGTTTAGTTTCAACTCGTATATAATGGTTGATTGCAATAACATAATAATTCAAATGTTTTACAGGCTGCCTATCAGAAAGTCCAAATCTCGAGACGAGATATTACCCCACCCTCAAGAGAGCGTTATAGTTGTACCAGTCAATTCTACTTTTGCTTGTTGTTGTTTTTTAATTTCGTGCAAAGCTACTCGAGGGTTATCTGCACTAGTTGTCCCTAATTCTGAAGTGATAGAAGAGCAGTTGGTTAACATCTCCCACCACTAACTCTTGGGCTGTCTTCCCTCTTATTAACTGTTCCAGATTTTGTTGTCTTCCCTCTGGTCAGCTATTCAAGGTTATTAATCCTCCCTCTATTCATCAGTTCGAGATTTGGTTGTCTTCCCTCTGGTCAGCTATTCAAGGTTATTAATCCTCCCTCTATTCATCAGTTCGAGATTTGGTTGTCTTCCCTCTGGTCAGCTATTCAAGGTTATTAATCCTCCCTCTATTCACCAGTTCCAAATTTGGTTGTCTTCCCTCTGGTCAGCTATTCAAGTTTATTAATCCTCCCTCTATTCATCAGTTCCAGATTTGTTTGTCTTCCCTCTGGTCAGCTATTCAAGTTTATCAATCCTTCTTCTATTCAGTAGTTCCAGATTTGTTTGTCTTCCCTCTGGTCAGCTATTCAAGGTTATTAATCCTCCCTCTATTCATCAGTTCAAGATTTGGTTGCCTTCCCTCTGGTCATCAGTTCCAGATTTGTTTGTCCTCCCTCTGAGAACGTTTGAGCTAGCTAAGCTGCGTTTACTCAGTCACGTGACATGTTGTTGACTAGCAGAGAATTATATAATTAATAAAAGTATTATAAGAACTACTGAAGATATTTAAACAATAGAGAGCTTGTATATGGTTTTATATATTTTTAATTGAATAACGTCGAAAACCCCAACTTTCATTGAACACCTTACAATAGACCTGATTTATTTCCCACGAGAAAGCTTGCACTTCTAATCATTTTACAACAGTATTTATAATGTGTTTTGATCAATGGTTAATTTGCTCCTTGTTTATCCTAAGTTTGATATTTCACCTGATAAGGTTATTTAACTTAGTGCTATACACAAGACTCACTTCGTTACATTTGACTCATTCTTTGTTTAAACAAGTGAAGTCTGATTAAATCACACCGTTCTAACCAGAGACTAAGAATTAACTTCATTACAGAGACTCAGCAATGGCTTCATAAGATTTTATAATGCTTAATTTAGAAAAGTGAAGTCTGACTAAATCATAAATTGAAGACTAACCTCATTGCATTTTACACATGGTTTGTTTAGAAAAGTGTGGTCTGACTAAATCATATCGTGTTAACCAGAAATTGAAGACTAACCTCATTGCATTTTACACATGGTTAGTTTAGAAAAGTGAAGTCTGACTAAATCATATCATCTTAAGATGACACTGATGATTAAATTCATTACATCTTATACGTGCTTCTTTTATAAAAGTGACGTCCGATTAAATCCTACCGTTGTGAGCCAGAGACTCGGGACTGGCTAAAGTTGTGACTTTCAGGACTCGGGTCTTACTTGCACCTCTGACGTTGACGGCGTAAACCAACACCACGTAGCTCGACGACTCGGGGAGACTACGGACGAGAAATGACGGAAAAGAGGAAGTGATATTTTCTCTCAACCGTCGGCGAGGAGTATCATAAGCTTCCATTACAAACTGTTGTCTTAGCCCCCCATCGTAACCCGCCTCGCATTCCACCCGGAAACTGTGGTCAGTTTTGTTGAGAACGGAACAGTTGTGAAGTGGATCCGGAACGCCTTGAGTGAAGTAAAACAGACTGGTCTTATCACCTTGTGTCTACTAACGTTGTATTTGTACTCAGTTTAAAATCATTAAATAAGTTTTAGGTCTTAAGTGCAAAAATGTATCACTTTAGCTGTAATGTATATTCCTTTTTTTTCTGACATGTCCACAGTAGTTGAATTATATACACAAGTGTTTGTTTATTATTAAGCACAATGAGTTATCTGTGTTATGCCCACCAGGAGTATCAAAACCAATATGTTTGCGTTATAAGCCTACAGACTTACCTTTGAGCCACTAGAGGTATAAATAATTGTAAATTAAACAAATAAAAACATATGTACATTCTACAACTAAAGAGGTGACATATTACACAATTTTCAGTATACAAAGATATAACATAAACACGCATTCCCAAGTATTAGGTATACAAATTGTATGAACCCTCAGAACAAGGTAGGTTACTTGGGAACTTCCTGCTACAGACAATAGCATCATAAAATACTCATGCACTGCTGCCATCTAGTGATGTAAATCAGTAATGGTTAGCACTGTGGGAAAACCTTAACCATGAAGTTTCATACAAGCGCCCTTACTCTCAAATAGTAAATAAGATGTAAACCGGTTACACTCTTTAGTTTAGGGTAATATTACTAATTTAGCTCCTACAAGCTTCTCGTAAACTTACACATCCAGCAACCTTCGTGACGTACCTGCGGGAATTACCAGAAACAGACACGGGTGGCGTTGTGTACCAACACTGTTGCGAGCCCAACACAGCAAAGTTCCATAATCGTGCTCTGTTCTTGGAGTAAAGGTAGTAAAGCTGATCGTCCCGCTTCTCTCAAAATCATTGATGTTGGACTGTTCCTCAGAATTATTAAATGTCCACTTGAAGGTCACCGACGCGGGGTCAGCTTCCACCTCGCAACGCACTTTGACCCCATCGTGCATCGTCGCTCCGTAGAGAGTTTTCTGACCAGGTTTGCAAATAGGGGCATCTATGAAGAGTTAGAACTTACAATAAACCATCCTAAAAAAAACCTAAATGGTCAGTTTTTGAACACTATAATACATGTGAATAATGATGACATTGGTTCTGATTATTCTTACAAAACTAAACCTGGGGATCATATGGACAGTTTGGCTACAAAGTTCAAAGTTTTTTAACTCTCGCATATACTGGAACTCATATAGAATATTATATGTTTGAAGGCCCGCATATACTGGAACTCATATAGAATATTATGTTTTTGAAGGCCCGCATATACTGGAACTTATATAGAATATTATGTTTTTGAAGACCCGCATATACTGGAACTTGTATAGAATATTATGTTTTTGAAGGCCCACATATACTGGAACTTGTATAGAATATTATGTTTTGAAGGCCCACATATACTGGAACTTGTATAGAATATTATGTTTTG